CGACCACTGGTGGCGCTGTTAGGAACAGTTTAATGAACGTTACATGAAGAAAAATGAAACAAAATGTCACAAAGACAAAGTTTATTTTCATATTAGTGGACGTAAAAAAGGAATAATCAACAGTTTGAAGGTAACATCTGTATTCTCAGTACTTGATGTTTAATTATTCTTCTGATTAATTATTTAATGTACAAAATAATGAGAAATATCTGTCACAGGTTGTCAGATAATAATTACAAAAACAATAAAAGTAAATAATGTGACACAAAGAAATGTTTTTAAAGTAATCTGTAGACAGTCTACTAATTGATTAATTAGTTCAGGGTTAATAAATCAAACATGTGACATGGATCTGTAACATCCAATCAGCGATCAATAGTCTGTAAACAGTGTCCGCTGACGGAGCTGTGGTGATGTTTCAGTCTTTATTTCCCAGCGACCACAGACAGCTGGTCTCTGATGCGTCCCAGTCCGTCCAGTATGGTGTCCAGAGACTCCCTGCTCAGCTCCACCGTCACCGCGGAAACAGACTCGCCGCCAGCGGACGGGTCCTCCATCTGGGAACACACACACACACACCACAACAACAACTAAGTCATGAATAGAGTAAAGCAGAACATCTTAATCCATCAGTGAAAACAGGGTTTCTTCCACGAAAGACTTGCCAGTATGAACTGCTTTAATAAGAGGCAGGGGCAGCAGAATTCATGTGGGCTTTTGGGAAGGACTAGGGGGCAACTATAACACAAATACCATTAAACTACAGCACTAAATTTCATTTACCTGATATTTATTTAAAAAGGGCACAAAAGTACCATTGTTTCATAACAATATATGCTTTAATTACAATTGACTGAATGAAAAAGTGAGTAATTCATCCCTATAGGCTCAATTTTGACAGCTACTTGGTGTATGAGCCGACCAATTAATCACCATTGCTATGTTTCATAAGCAAACAGCAGGTAAACAAAATAACATGAAAATTACACAGGCTGGAAACAGCATCACCTCACAAAATAATGCAATCCATCAAAAAAAAAAAAAAAAATCAACCTCAAAGTCCCCAAACTCTTCACAAACATTTGTATTGCATGGTTGTTGTATGGAATTGCATCGATTGTAGAGGCATTGCTGTTATTTTGTCCACCCCTGTAAGTGTTGTTGCTCACTGATCGAGGTCACACGTACTGGGCTCATACCTTAGACCACTTTAAGTGGGCGAGGTTGGACTCATGCATTGGTTTGAGTGAGTGCTTCTGAGAGGCAGTGTGTAGCAGAGAGAAAACAAGAGAAAACCATAAGCAAGGATGATAGAACTGAGAAAGAGACGGAGGGCCAGAGGAGAAGAGGGAAGTGAAGAAAAAAGATGATAAACACCACAATGGTAGGAAAAAGGTAAGGGAGAAAGAATCTCAGGATATGAAGGTCTTTATTTTATCTGTATATAGATGTGTTATGCATGTACTGTAGATGTGATCCTGTGGCTTGATTGATATTGCTTTGTCGTCTATGTGTGTGTGTGTTTAGGAGGGTTGTGTACCTGTTTCTCCTGGAGTGACCTGGCAGCCTCCTCCTGTGCCAGTACCATCTCTCGCTCAGCAGTGATCTGAACGCTCTCTCTGAGGGCCTCCTCCAGCTCCTCAATGCGCTCCGCCTTCTGACGCAGATTGTCCTTCAGAACAGGGGTAGAAAAAGGTCAAATTATGGTTTGCTAGACACTGACCTAGTAAGTAAGTTCGCAAGGCTCATACAGTCCAAGCGAACCGCACACATGCCTCACCTTCACCTGTTGGGAGTTCTCCGACAGGTTGTCCTCCCTCTTCCTGGCCTCCTCCATGAGTCGAGCGTTCCTACTCTTCTCTACCTGCTCCTTGTGCTTCAGAGACGCCACCTTCTTCGACTGATCCTTCATCTGCCTACAGGGACACCACGGGATACATGGGAGAAGTTACAAAAATAGACTACTATAGTCCCACCTGACTAATTTATCATTGCAATTAAAAATTAATTGGTTAACTGGGAAAGAGATATGCACTAAATAAAACTGGGTCTCATTGACAAGTAGACGCACTTGTTGCTTAGAATATCTACTAATAATGGCACATATATGTGCTTGTTGACTCACATATTACCATATCAATGATAATATATACAAAATGTTTATAAGTCAGTTATGATTGTGGCCATCTGATCACTGATGCTTAGTAAATACACTGTTAGGCATCAAATAAAAGCCATTTTCAAATCTAAGGCAAAGACATAAAGACATGTGATCCTATGAAAAGCTATCCTTTTTAAACACAATGACATAACAGTTGATACCATAGCCTTACAGACTGGCTATGGCAAGATTTTAAGTCAACCCTGCAAAGAGTGAATCTTAGATTTGACTCGGGGTGAAAGAGCGAACAATAAGAAGGCGAAAGGGGAGAAATGAGCATGAGCAGAAGTATGAGGAAAGACAAAGAGTTCAATATGTCAGGACAAGGCAATTGCTTGCGGCAGCACAGACTATTGAGAGGTAAGAGGTGCGGAGAAACAAGGGAGAGAAATGTGAGAAAAGGACAAAGGGAAAATAAGGATGTTGGTGGGAGAGAGAAAGAGAGCAAATACTAACCTGGAGGTCAAACTGGTGGGGTGAGAGGTTTCCGGTGTAAAGACAAGAAAGCAGTAAAGAGAAAAACAGACTCAGACCAGGAAGATGAGCCAATATGAAGAAAGCTCTAGGATTATGTGGGGTCTTTGACTCTAGTGTCACAAGGTTCACAACATACAAGTAGAAGACAGGAATCGAAACAGAAACGTCATATGAAAGATGGCTTGCCTTTGCCAACTACTGCAGCCGTACCTACCAGCTTTATAAAAAAGGTCTGCTAATAACATTCACCACATCAGCTTTCAAAGCAATACTGCTTAGATGCCAAATGGCAGATGGCCAAATTACACTAAAATCCAACGTTTAATGCGCTAGAGGCAAATTTCTCCAGAGTGACATGATGTCATGGAGGAACATTTTGTGGTCTCAAGTCCAAGCAGGCAAAAGGATGAAATTAGATAGCAGGAAGCACTATTGCAGCATTTAAAAGACTAAATCGTTCAAAACTCTTACACAAAATCTGTACACTGAACATTTAAGACGCTATTTATTCCAGAGCTAACCACCAGAAACCACTTGCATATACAACTGATAAACATTCATTAATTATTGTATAGTGCTACGGGCAAACACAAAATCACCAGCATGCATGTTTCCACCCACCTCTCCAGCTCATTGATCTTTTTGTCCTTGTCATTCTTCTCATTCTCCATTTCCCGAAGGATCTCCAGCAGGCGGTCCACCTCAGCCTGGGCTTTCCCAGAATCCTCTTTGTGGCGGGCCACTTCCTGCTCAAGGTTCTTAATGCGCTCGGCCAGCTCGGTGTTGGCCTGAGCCTCCAGGGCTGCATTTTGAGCCTGACAAAAGGACAAGAAGAGTGCAGTTAAACTCACTTCAGTCTCTGCCGTTAGGGGTTAGAGAAGTGTCAGACTTAAACAATTTAAGTAAACATTTAGTAGCATCATATCGGTGCTGAACCGGCATACGAGCTGCCGGTTTTATTATTTGAGGATCTCACTCTCTTAAGCTGGTTCTCCAGTTTGAGGCATTCCTCCCTCTTCTGCTCCAAGGCGATCTCCAGACTCTTGAGTTTAGAGTCTTTCTTCAGCCCTGAGGAGGCCAGAGATGATGCATGCTCCTTCAGGTCCAACAGCGACGTCTGCACATACACACACACACACACACACACACACACACACCCACATACACACAAATATAGATGAACCTGTTCCAGATTATCAAACTAACAGCATGGGACTGAGAAGACTGAAAATACATTAGATCTAATAACGGCATCCATGACTCATCGAAAAAGAGACTAATGGAAAAAAACCTGATGCTCATTTCTGACAGTAATGTTTCACTTTATTTATAGAATCACAGTAAACAAAAGTTTCCCTGTCTGTGTGAGCTTATGTTCCCGTTTCTCACCTCTCTGTCTGACAGGTCTCCCTGAAGTAAACTCACTCTCTCCTTCAACTCTTTCAGTTCCTTCTTGTTACAGTCGAGCTCCTCCGTCTTCTCCCGGTCGTCTCTGTCTCGCTGCTCCTTTAAACGCTCAATGATGCGCTCCTAGGAGGAGGTACAGACAACTATCACTCATGCTGCCTTCACAAACATAACCAACACACGTGTTGCTAAAAATGAACATTTTGTAGTCAGAAGTAACTTGATATGTGCAGACATAAATTCACCTTTTCTGCAAGAGACTCCTCCAGTGTGGTGAGAGCAGTGTCAGTGTTAGAAGTGTCTGCCTGCAAAGACTTCACTCTCTCCTTCAGGCTGCTCATCTGCTTCTCCTTGTCCCTCAGCTGCTCCTGCAGGTTCTCAATCTGCAGAGCACCATCACAATTAACATCAACCACAGGACATACACTGTAGTATTGATGAATGCATCTTTGTGGTTGTTTCAGACAACATAAGACCTTTGAAACAGGTCTTAATCCAAATCACCTTCTTCTGTAGCACATTAACTTTGCGCTCCTTAACCTCCAGCATGTCCTTGAGGTCGTGGATCTCCCCGTTGAGTGTACCCTTCTCTTCCGACATTTCTTGTATCTGCTTGCTCTTCTTATTCAGAGTTGCCTCCTTCTCCTCCAAACGCAGGCGCAAGGCATCCACCTATTCAGAAATGGTACAACAACAATTACTGACCATAATTGTGTCATGCTCAAAGCAAAGACAACAGGACAACTTCCTAACATACAGTGACGTCTGTGCTTTTGGAATAACAATTCTCTTGCCTCACTGCACAACATATGTACCCTTTAAAGCACCCTTGCTGTAAACTTATTCCAAAGTCCTCTGGGTGTATAGCTGCAGTATGTATCTGCTGTACCTCTGTCTGTAAGATGGCAGCTCGCTGCTCCTTGGCAGTGAGGGACTCCTTGAGGACTTCAATGTGCTGCTTGCTGTCTGAAAACTGGTTGGTGAGCGTCTCCAGTTTGGTCTGCAAACCAAGCATCTCAGTGTCCTTCCTGGAGAGGTCCTGCTTCACTTGTTCCATCTGAAAAACATGAGACCAAGGGGGACATAAAAATGATGAGGGATGGACATGGACTGAAGTCTGTGTTCTCCTGAATGTAAGATGCAGCAGTCTGGTCAAACCTTGTTCTTCATGAACTTGGTGTGGCTGCGGTAGACCTCCATCTGCTTCATTTCCTCCTGACGCTCCTCGCAGCTCAGGAGTCCGTTGGATTTCATCATTAGTAACTCCTCCTCCATGTCTCTCAGGCCCCGCTCCATTGAATTGATTTTTGCATCCTGGAGTTGATAAAGAGGAGGTCATGCATGTAGCACGCCACATTAACATAAATATAGTAACACACTTCTCTATTTAAATCCTCACCTTCATGTCTATGACAGTCTGTAGAGCCTTAGTTTTGGTGGATTCAGGGGTTCCCTCGTATCGACGGTGCAGCTCCTGCTGATTCAGATGAAGAACATATTGCATGCATGTGTAAATTATCTATGTGCACTTTCACAACATAGCTAGACCAATCAAATGTTCTGGACATTACCTCTCTTAGTGCAGTAATCTCTCTGTCTCTCTGGTCCAGTAAACTCTCAAGGTGATGCCTGTGCATCTCTGCATCAGCCAGTCTCCTTGTCCGCTCCTGGTCCTCCTCTGATGCCTTGGCAGATGGCCCTGAGACAAGAATACATAACAACTCGGTTACCAAGTCGAAGAAGTCGGAAAGAAAGACAGTCATGTAGTTGAAAGTCTTTGCAACAGCCAACCTGAGCACCATAAGCCTTATGGTTAACTTACAGAAGCTAACACAGGAGCTAAGACTTATTCTTTCTTTCTACAAAAGCTCATCTGTTCAGCAGGGAAGGATATCTGAAAGCATTGGATTCACAACTCCAAAGCCAATGTGAAAAAAAAAGCAAATAACCAAACCGCTAAAGCACACACCATTCAATTTATTTGCCATTTTTTTATTTATTAAATATATTCTCAGGAGTTTAAATCTGTTTTAGGTTTATTTTTCGTATCCTGCATCCGGTTTGTCAAGTGTGATGTCTATTTATGTTACAAAATACTAATTATTCTGGGAGACACCTATGCAAAGGTCTCTGCATGAAGCCTTGGACATTCTTAGCCTCAGAATCATATGGTTGGGTTTAAAGTATGCATTATGGTTAGTTTATGGAGCAAATAAACCCACAGTTGGCCAACCAGGGAGAGAGCTTGGGTGGAGCTGACGATGAAACATCGTAGCTTTAAGTTATAGCCTGAGACCGAGTCTTCACTGATACATTATAAGGATCAATAAGCCCTAAACACTACTCTTCCTAGGCTCAAACCTTTGCTTTGCAGCATCTCCAGAAGTTTCTTGATGGATTCGTCTCTGGCTCCCAGAGTTTGCTTCTGTGTGTCAATCCTCAGTTCCATCTCCTCCAGGGTCTTTCTAAGGAGGAAGAGCTCTTTGGCCTGCCTCTCGTGCTCGGCCTGTAGCCGCCGGTAGTTCTCCTCCGTAGGTTCAGATGTCAGGGCCAGGTCCCGGCCTTGGCTGGCGGGGTCTTGCTGCAGCAGCTGGTTCAGATCCCTCTGGATCCTCAGCTCATCCTGAAGAGCCTGAACAGTCATCTGGAGATGCTAGAGACAAATAAGAGACACACACATACGTTTGTTTGTTTCTTCTGTCTGTTTGTGGACTGTCACAGGTGTATATGGGGTTATGGAAATGTATTGATTATCTGATAATACAGGGGCGTTTCCCGCCCTACTTTATGGGAATGGGTCCTAGCAGGATATTGTGTTACAGCCTTCTAAAAATCCACCTCTAATCATGACTGAAAATGAAGCAATGCCCTGACAGATGCACCCCCAACAGCCAGGCATTGTGGACAGTGTTACATTTCATGCACAGAGAAATACAAGTGGCGAAATACAATCAGCCCAGTATAGTATTGCATTGTTTGTGGCATTTGACGCCGGGGACACTTGGCAGAGTTGCTGTGAGACAGTAACACAAGGCTGTGTTACACTCTGGTCTGAACCAGCTGCAAGCGTTTTCAGACGACAGAACAAAGAGAGAAGTCAGTGTCTGCCTTCGTTTCTCTCTGTCCTCCTCCTCCTCCTTCTTCTTCTCCAGCCCCCTCCCTTTCCTCCCTTTGTCATTCTCTCCTTCTCTCTCCATCAGCACACACTATTCATCTACCTTGCCTGCCCTGCCCCATCTCTTCCCTCCAATACTCTCACCTCTCCTCTCACTAACCCTCCCTTTCCATCACCCTCTCCACCCCGTGACTAAGGCTGACTCACTGCTGTGACTGCACCGATCCACCCCCCCTCCCCACGCACACACACACACAGGCAGCTACATGCACGGACAAGCACGAAAACACACACACACACACACACACACACAGACCTTCTCCCTTCCTCAGCCCTTATATTCTCACTCTCTGTGCCCGAGGAGAGATAACAGTCAGGTGTTTGCGAGAGCATAAAGAATAGGAGATATGATGCTCTAAACTAAACTGACCCAAACACAGTGTAAACCTCCGCTTCAGATCATCCACAGCACTCAATGTAAAGTCAAAATGTTAAAGATTCTCATATCTGCTCCACTAACATTAGTACTTCTGTTTATTACTTGATGAAACATCACTGGCATTTTGCAACATCCTACGATAAAAGGTGATATTTTATCCATGAGGCAAGGAGATAAATGATCATTATTAGGAGAGTATCTGACCTTTTACTAAATGGGAAAAGGAAGATAATGTTCTATTTCACACTACTATAGACTAGGTAATAGTTGTCACTTATCACGGAGAATGATATGCCTTGTAGTAGGGATTCTGGAAAAGCTGTGGCCATCACGCATAGAAACTCATCAAAATGATATGCATAAACATAAACATTCAATTGCAGACTTACTAACGGTCAGTTGGGCCTACATTTAATAAGGGCATGCAGTTTAACTAAAGCCGTAATTACTCAAATGCCTTTGAGTGAGTGTGTGTGTGTGTATGTGTCTGTGTCTCCATGCTTTCCGTTGTATGCATGCCAGCGTGGGAGGAGGAGGCTGACATATGAAAGCAGACATCTTTAAATTACAGCACCCACTGATTAGCCCTGCGCTAGTCGGGCATTACTGGGAATTAGTCCACAGTGTGATTTTGTGAGTCAGCAAAGTGAAAACAGCAAATTACACAGATCTGCCCATCCATTAAGAATCACAGTGAAACAAAGACTATTTGTCTTCATTAATGAAACTTAATTTGTACAATCGCCACAATATACCGTAGGTTTTAAAAATAGACCATGCGTTAGTATTTATTCACTTACTGTTATCAAATTGATATTTGTTAAACGTGTACATACAGTATGTATACATGTGTGCAGGCACAGACACAGATTGCTGAAGAAACTGGCCCTATAATTTTGCAAAGCCAGTGTCTCTATATTTAAGATCAAGAAGCCGAGGATGAGAAAAACCAGTAACAACTGGACACAAAACCAGTAACAGAGAATGGAAGGCATGTGAAAATGTTGGGTTTCTGCACCTAACTGGATTGGTACGTAATAGAGGGGGAGGTGTGAGGACTAAATACTACAAGTTTCACATCTTGAAAGGAACATTTTCAAAAGGATTTAAAGCATTCGACACCAAGTTACAGACAAACACTACACAGATACAGATGCAAGTGTATTTTCTTCCATCTAACCATAATCTGCTCTCAGTGCTTCTTTTCATTTTGAAAAAGGCACATAGCCAAAATACTAAAATCAGAAGTGCTATTAACAACAGCCCCTTTATTACTGTTACATGTGACAACATTATTAAGTTGGTTTCATATTTTCCGCTATACATACATACATACATATTTTAAATTCGCACCGTCTCCACATTTCTATCCTGTTCACCACATCCAGCAATTTCTAAAACATACAGAAATGCTAATGCAGCCATTAGACTTACGGCCTCTTTCATCTATTAAGCATGAGCATATAGCTGCATGTAAGAGGATTAACTAGATGTTCAAAAACTGCCTCTAACCTATGCAGAGAAAGAAGAGAGAGAGAGAGAGAGAGAGAGAGAAGCACACTAGTACTAAAGCTGACACACTGGATGAAACGCATTTCAAACATGTTCACTATAAGCAGATTGATGAGTCTATTTAGACTGCTGATGACAACAAAAACAGTAATTGTGAGGCAAAAACACGAATTCTATCCACTCAAAAAAATATAAGGGAACACCCACCTGTGCTTCATCTTGAATCACACGGTATTGTTCCTTCCAGACAGTGATCTTAGAAACTTCATCTTTCCTGAGAGCTCGCTCTTTTTTTAATTCTGGGCTCCAGAAGGTCTTGATAGAATTCATGGAGGAACTGAGCTTGCTCTCCTTCACTTCCACTTCTCGCCGCAGCATCTCATTCTCACGCAGCACCTGAGAAAGCAGGATAAAGGAGTGGCACATAAATACTGTATAGGTATGGCCTGTCAAACCTAGCAGGTCAAACGATTAATCAAAAAAAATTCTACATCCTTGATAGAGAAAAATCTGCAAATTAGGAGAATAATTAAATAAAATACCTCTTTCAGCTGGGCCTGCAGGTCAAGTATGGTGTTGTCTCTGGCCTGCCTTAGAGAATGGGGCACGGTGGAGGCCATGTGGTGGTCCCCAAAAGCTAGAGCATCACCTGCCATCATGCCTGCTGGCAGCACAGCATTCCCAGGCACTGAGGTGGAGATGTTGGGGGTGCTAGCGGCCACAACTCCACTGTTGCTGCCCCTCGACCCATACGTCACCCTCTGTCTCCCCATGGTCGTCACTGACCCGCCACTCTTGGGAAGGTGTTCCCCCGCCATGGCAACCTCATTGTCACTCAGGTACATTGGTCCGGAGGTGGCGTACGCGGCGTTGAGGGACTGGATGTTCTCCATGGAAAGCGTCTTGCCTCCCGCTCCTCCAGGACCCCCTCCACTGCCTCCGGTGCTGTTGGTGCGGCGGTGTCCCATCCGAGGAGAACGGGGAAGGCGAGGGGAACGGCCAGATCCCTGATTGCCAGTACCACCTCCATCTCTTCCACCACTATGATTGGCATCCCCTCTGCCGACAGAGCGGGCACTACCGTACATCTTCTGCTAAATAGAAGAATACAGCTGACAGCTAAACTGAAGTACGACCTCAAGTGTCTGTATATATTCCTGCTTAATTTGCGTTTGTCACCAATTGTGTGAATGTGTGGTGGTGATCCTGCTTCAACCGGAGACGGCGGGCACAATGTTCATGATAAAATAGAGGTCTGATGCTCTCCACTTCTAGGGACAGACACTGCTGACAGACTTTCCTGTTCCAACAGGAGCTCCCCGGTGGTACAAATTATGACACCAATCTGCAAAAAAAACCCACAACACAGTCGTTCCCAAGAGGAAATAGCATACATAAAGCATAGGTTAACAATTAATAATAACCAACAAATCAGCATCAAACAAGCCACTGGTTCCTAACATGTTCACTAAGGGTCATTAAAACATCTCCAGCAACATAAGGGAACAATACATTTAGTGTTAGGTCCACTTTTTAACATTTAACACAATGGGAATGAGTAGGGATGTCCTCTCTTTGCTTGGTTTCACCGTCTTAACTGGATTTCCTCATGCAGTAAAGACAGTTATGTAACTATAAAGTCATGTCTAAGAACAAAAAAATCCTCCCAGATGGGGTCAAAGTCCCTGCTAATACTAAACCTATAATATCTGATATCTGATCTGATTTTAGGTTTTATCCTTTCCAAAGAGCTGCATGCTGCAACATTACAACTATTACAGCCCTTCTGTCAGGACAAAGGGACAAAATGCTGCCATGTTAACATTATAAAAGACTTACAGTAGACTCGTGTACGGAAATGCATGCAACTGTTCTGCTTCGTGCTATGTTTTATATGCATTTTTCTCTAAAAGCTTTACACTGAAGTGAACCAGCCATTTAACTAAAGGGGGGCTCGTCTGCGTGGCCTAGCAGCTAACGTTAAACCGGCTAACAGTAAAACTAACACCTCGCCCCTCTTAATGTTGTCTTTATAGCTTCACACGTGTGTTTAAAACTGGTTGGTGGATTAAAGAGGATAAAAAACAAAAATCTTGAATTCCTCATAATTTTAGTGTGTGCGCTTAATGTGCTGACGCTGTGGATTAAAACTGGGCAGGGAGGGAACAAGGGGGAGGGATTGTCCATGGTGGACATCGTAAAAGGAGAGAAATTGCAAAGATTTAACACTAAATACACATTGATAACTATCAAATAAACAGCTACACGTCCCGGTGAGATACCCAGCTTGGATTTTAGTGTCAGAATATGTCACATTAAACCAGAATTAAAGCACAACGACAGCTCGCCTTTGGAGACAACCCCGTTTTCCTCCACGGCTCTTTTTCTTCTCGTTTCAAGCTTCATCCGGAGAGAATATATATATATATATATAACTTATATATGTCTGCTAAAGCTGAAATAACACAATATATAACGTCAGCTCGCCGTGACATATGGAGGATAGTCCCATCCAGTCTTATGTGGTCAAGCTGAAACCTCTTTATATATATATATATATATATCTCCTCGCTAAACACAATAAGCCAGTTGGAGGTGGAAAAAAAAAACCCTCTCTCTCCAAACAAACTAACCTTTCTCGGTGTCTGCTGGAGCTCAAACCGGTGCCAACGCTGGATCCTCCGTCAAGTGGAAATCAGCCGCAAAAACCCGTCATTTTATGTTAATTATTCGGTTAGATATCTATCAGATTCTCCCATCTTTCT